GGGGGGGGAGAGCTGAGACTAACCCCCTGGGCACCCCCCGCTGGGCCCTGAGCCCTCCCTAGGCAGGCTCCGTGGCTGCCTTGTTCACCCAAACCAGGTTACTGGCATCCAGGCAAAGCTTCTTGGATGCCACCCTGAAAGCACTCACGCCAGGCAGCGATCCTGCTGTCAACCACATTAAATCCCACTTTTTATTCTGCCGTGGGGTCCCTGTCTGGGATGCGTAGGACCCCAAGAAAAAGGAAAAGGATGAAGAAGTGTCGACACCAGAAAAGATACAGTCATACTATTAGCAATACAAGTTCATACAGAGAAATTTTCCAGATAAAAAAAATTTTTTACACTTAAAAGTAACTGTACACGTATTGTGAAATTTGCCAAATGGTTTTAAAAAGTAAAAACAAAAAAGGGTCACAAGAGCTGGTTCTTTTTTTGGGAGGGGGGAGGGGGGGCTAAGAGGGAAAAAGCCTGGGAGATTTTCTCCCCAATAGCCTCTACCAGAGCAAACAGGAGGGGAGGCTCTGGAACCTGGGTGGGGGGGGACGGGACAACAAGGGACACATTTATTTGGTCGCACTGAAAATATTCTTGTCTTCACTGATGAGGCGTATCGTTAAGCACAGAGCTCCTCTGCCTTAGCTGGCTCTTAAATAAGAACTTTAAAAAGATTCACCTTCTTTCTAGCTGGGGGGGGCAACCAAACACCCCCACTCCAAGCAGGGACGATAAGCCTTCTCTGAAAAAAGCCAAGGGGTTCCCAGCACAAGGGCCGGGCCCAAGGAAAGGATGCTTCCATTCTCCATCAGCCGAGGCTGCAACATCACTCCAGATTTCCTGCTAATGCGGCTGAAATGTGGGGTTTTTTTTTTTCCTTTTTTAAAAAACACAAACACAAAATACCCTCCAATTTTATGGACACCACCCCAACAGTCTCTACATGATGCCGGTGCCAAAAGCACTTAACAGTCACTCTTCCAAAGTTTAATCGTTTTGTCGTTCTCTAGGGCTGCAGAGGCAATGATGTTTTCGGTCGGATGGCAAGCCGTGGAGATCACAACGTCTGTTGGGAAAGAGGGACCAAGATGCCCGTTACCTGCCTGGCTCCACACAAGAATAAGCCCACTCAGGGCTGCCAACCCAAGGAGGCTGGAGGAGAGGCCACTACCCACCTCCACCGTTACCACTGAAGGGCTGGGTCCCTCCTTGGGCTAAAAGAATCCCAGGCATGGCCTCACCCCTTTGGCTGGCATGACTCCCCGGGGGCAAAGAACCATGTCACGTGGACACCAAGCGGCAGCTTTGCAGGTGGGGAAAGCTTTCCTTGTGTCCTGAAGGTGCTTCTCCCCATTCTCCCCCTGGCCGGGGGTGGGTGGGCGGTGGACAGCCACCAAGGAGCGGGACTGGCTAAGACCAGTACTTCCAACTGTGTGTTACTTTTGTGGCCAGGGGCACTGTGTTCTTATGTTCCTAGTCAACGAAAGTGTGTGGCACCATCTCATTTTTTATTAGCAGTAACACTAACCTTGATCGTATGCCAACAGTCCTGGGTCTGGGGGGAGGCACACCTACTCCAAGGAGTCCTCAATATTCCCACCCAGCCCAAGGGTCAAGAAGACCCCCTTGACTGCTTGCAGCCCCAACCCCAGCCACGGGAACCAAGCCCATTAAGGCCCTGCATCCTTCCCTCTAGGATGGAAGGCGGATTCCTCCTGGGGCACCCCTCAAGCAGGAGGGAGGGGATCCTGGGGGCAAATAGTGGGAGCAGCCGGAATGCAGGATCGGGGCCCCAAAGTTCTAGGCTACAGCAGCAGGTCCAGAAGGGGCTCCTTAAATATGTGCTTGGCATAAAGCCAGGAACACCTGTCCCCAAAGCCGCAGCTCTTTTGAGGCCAGGGCCCGAGAGCCCCCGAGGGGGCCTTGTGCACCACAAGCGCTCCTACCTGTGTGCCCCTGCAGCTTCTGTACAATCTCTTTTGTTTGGAGGTTCCAGATGTAAACTAGGTTGTCCTCCGAACCCGACACGATCCACTAAAGGAAAGAGAGGCATTCAGGACAGGAGGGCAGATCCCATTGCAGGGGCCACTTCTCTGTCTCCTCCCCCCTCCTCCTTCACCCAATCTACCAGCCACCCGTCACCCCATCGGAAATCTGGCTTCAGAGCCGGTTTTCTAAAATAGCGAGACCTCAACAATTCTCATCTTGGATGATGCACATCACAAGGAGGGCAGCAGCCTCGAAGTCAACCCCCTGCCAGTCCACCGCAAACCCAGGCGCTCCGTAGCTGCCGCTTTATGTGGCCAGTTCTCTTTATGTCAGACCTGGTGCCACCCCCCCAGATCCTGTTCCCTGGAGAGGAGCTGCTTACTTGACCTTGTCCCCTCACCCAGGCCCTGCCCCTGAATTCGAATGCTGCTCTGCACTGTTGCTCAGAGGGCATTTGCACGGATGAAGAAAACACGGGGTCCTCCTGGGCAACTCAGAAAAGAGACCCTCACCTTTCCGCCAGTAACAGAAAAGTTGGCAAAGATGCAATACTTCTCGTTCTTGTGGCCCGTGTAGGTCTTGAGGCACTGGAAAAAAGAACACCACAGAACCACCTATCACACCTCAGCAGGAGAGCCAAAGCAGGGGAAGACCACTGCCGCGTGCGTACGTGTGTGTTGTGTGTGTGTATCCTCCCTTACCTGAAAAGCCACAGGCTTTCACGCAAGACTGACCTCTGGAGAAAGAGGAAACTTTTGCCCCCCAGATATAATGTCCCCACCCTCAACTCTACAGTCTCCCAAATTTTAGTGGTCTGGGAATATTCAAAAACTGGACCTGGAGGCTATTTGCCAAGGTGGATTAATTTCATATTATTGTTGAATTAAGCGTCTGCCGTGGGAGGACAGCAAGGGACGAAGTCAGCGGTCGGTGTGCTTTCTCAGACTGCAGAAGCAGACAAGGGCCTGGGGCTGAGGCCTAAGCCTCCCCGGGGTTTATGGGAGCATCTTCTGAGTTAAACACAGGAACTCACCTTCCCTTTGCTGTAGTCCCAAAGCTTGAGAGTGCTGGAGAGAAGGAAACACTCTGGTTAGAAAGGCCCACAGAATGACCCACCACAACCCTCCCCCCCCCCGGCTGACCTCCAGCTCTCTCAAATGTTTGCCTGTATCTACCTGTTTGTTCACACCACCTGTTTTCCCCCTTCTTGAAAGAGTTTTAAAACCACATCCAAATATTTATTTTTTTGGAATTTATTCTTCACCTAATCCCTTCATACTTTGGAGGCTCCTAGGCTGCTACTCCTAAATATGGAAACTAAATAAAGAGCTGTTGGAAAAATAAAGGGAGAAGTGAAGCTGGGAGTGCTCACCAAATTGCCTGAGGGGAGGAGGAGACAACTGCAGACCGAGGCCTCTTTAGACCTGCGGGGCAGTTTGGGCCAGGCAGGGGCTGCTCCTCAAGGAGGACCAGGCAGCGCCAAGAAAAAAGCTGAAGCTATTTTGTAAAATATCATTCTCCAGTCATGCACTTAAAACACCAGAGTTCCATTTCTGACACTTTTACAATTACAATTTGGCAAAACCCTTTGGAGGTTTTGGGGGGCAACTCGACTCCCCGGGTTTTTAGGCCCAGCCTAGGAATTCAAGGCCTCTCCAGGGCTAGAAGTCCATTGGGATCTTCCTCACATCGCCTTGGGCAGCCGTTCCCTCCTCCCTGCTGCCTTTTTCTTTGGAAAATCGGAACAGAATTCTTTGGCTCTTACTTATCCAGAGTTGCTGCTAGAATATATTTGCCATTTGGAGAGAATTTCACAAATGACACGGGGGGATTGTCGTCATCTGAAAGAGAGAATGAAAGAAAGCCCTGTTTTCAGTACTGCCTGGTGAAATGGGGATTTGCCTGAGCCAATTCCTTCTGGAGAGGAGCCAACTCACCAATCAACGTTTTCAAGCACTGGCCAGAAGCCGTGTCCCAGATCCGGCTGCAATGCCAAGGGAGTCACATTAGTCATGCAGAAAAGCTGGGGGGGGGGGGGCAGATGACAAGATGGACGGACAATACACACACACACACACACACACACACACACACAGCACAGCCAGGGCACTCTGAATGGAAATGGAATAGACCCTGAAGTCTGGTAGCATTGTTTCATTTGGTTTGACGGGAAACGCAGACCAAAAAGACCACAAACGGATTCTCAGCTCGGGCACATTTTAGAGCGAAGGACTCAGAACGTCTTCTCTAAAAGAGTAAGCTTTCAGAATTTCCCTCCAGAAACACTTTTATTCTGAAATGGAAACCAGGAACATTTCCATGCGCAAAGGAGGCCAGAAGGTAGCTAAGCAGGGAATGGGGAAGGGAGGGGCTGGGGCGATCAGAGTGGGCCGAGCTCAAAGGGAGGGAGGGAGGGAGGGAGGGAGGGAGGGAGGGCTCAGGCTGATGCTCAGGAGGGGAGGGGAGGGGGCCGGGTACATGCGGTGCCCCCTTAAGACCCTTTGGGTTTTTCTCAAGAGGGAACCAGGAGCCAGTAAAACATTCCAGGCTCCATTCTTCCCACTCCTGTCACTAAGCCACGGAGGAGGAGGAGGAGGCATCGAGCCCATCATGGCTGATTTTCGGTGGTGCTGAGATTCTGATTTTTCAAGATTCCAGCCCAGGATTAGGAAGGGGACAACGGACACATCATTTGTCATCGAACAATGGCAGTTTCACCTCTTCCCTCCATCTTCATTTCCCCCAGTCAGCCCCCTGAGATAGACCAGACCAGGAGATCCAGTCCACGGGAAGGAAGGCCAACCCTGCTTTTATTGGAGCTGGCTCTAAGGAGAGAACCTGGGGAGTCTGTCGGATGGGCCTCCTCCCCACCGTGCGCTGAGGCCTCTGCCTGAGCCCCTTCTCAACATTGCCCCCTTTCTCAGAACTTTAAAATGTTTCTCCCCCCCCCCGTACTTCGGGAATGGGTCCTGCCTGTCTCCATCCGTCACCTCTTCCTTCCACCACAGACGATCAGGCGCTCATTAGGAAACTGGTGGCCCATCGAACACAGGAGCGCACAGCCCAGGAGTGCAAAGGAAGGCGGCCAGGGACCCTTCTGCCCCGGCTCTGAGGGGGGCCTGACTCCCACCCACGAAGCTGTCATTAACAAGAGCCGGGGGGGGGGGCGCAGTGGTCAGAATGCAGCACTGCAGGCTCCTTCTGCTGACTGCCGGCTGCCAGCAGTTCGGCAGTTTGATCCTGACCGGCTCAAGGTTGACTCAGCCTTCCATCCTTCCGAGGTGGGTAAAATGAGGACCCAGATTGTTGGGGGCAACAGGCTGACTCTTATATACTGCTTAGAGAGGACTGTAAAGCACTGTGAAGTGGCATCTAAGTCCAAGTGCTATTGCTATTGCTATGCTCCCGCCCAGCTCTCTATTCTCAGGGCAGGAGGCACAGCTGCTGCCAGCTTCCCTGGCTTTGTGGGGCGCTCCAAGGAGCAGGACGACTCACCCTGCCAGTCCCTTTGGCTTTAATGGAGCAAGTTTGGGTTGGTTCTTTTTCCACGTTCTTACTAATTCTGTGCAGGCCTTTTGGGTATAACAAACTTTTCCCCTGCACCACTGTTTTCTCTTCAGCGTCAGGGTGAAGAGACCTTTTCAAATTAGAGCTTTCTCTACAACCAAGGAACCCTGCCGTGCTTTCTTTTTATGGTCCCCCCCTCCCAACAGGCTCTCAGAAAGGAATGAGGAAGGGGGGGCTCTGCCAACTCGGAAGAGAAGAGGAGCCCTGGTGTGGTGGGAGATGCTGGCAAAAGAGGGTCAGGCCAAGAATAGGCCCCATCCTGGGGGGTGGGGGCAGCCCCCCCTCCCTCCTGCCTGACCAATTGCTCTTCAGAACTGCCAAGGTTTTGCTTTCCACCAGGGGAACCGCCCAGAGTGGGGAGGGGAGGGCCGAGCGGGAGAAGCCGAGGGGGCCTTCATGCATCTGGGGCTCAGTGGAGGCCGGAGGTCTTCAGGTTCCAGTTATCCAAAAGAGCAAACCAGCCCAGTTTGGGTAGGGAAGGACGGGAAAGCCTTTGAATGCACAAATGTACGGCTTGAGCCTCGGCAAAGGCTGAGGAACTCTTGGGCCAAGCCAAGAGCCGAACTCCAGGCCCCAAAGCTTCTCCCAGCAAGCTGTCCTTTTCCACAGGGCCCCAGGGCTGTCCTTCCAAGGCTCACTGCATAGCACAGAAAAGGCAGCTTCATGCAGCCCATGGGGGAAAGGAAGGCAACACAAAAGAACAACTGACAGTCCTCCTTCGAAAGGACTTCCCCCCGCCCCCGTTCTCCAGACACCATCTCCAGGGCACTGGTGTCTGGGGAAAGAGCCAAACAGAGCCGGAAATGAGGCCAGGGTTGCTTGACCCCAACTACATTCAAAAGGATACATGGGAGGGAGATCCACCTCTGCAGTAGCAGGTGGCACAAACCAGGCGGGAGAAGGTCCGATCTCCCTGGGCTCAAGGACGGGGTTCCTGTGCCCGCAATTTAGGGCTGAAGGTGGGAAGTGGGCCTGTGGGCCTTCGACGACTTTTGCCACACGGCAAGAAAGGCCACGGCCACCCCTTCTTAAAATCAAGGGTGGAGTCACCGTGTTAATTCAAGAAACATGTGCCCCCCCCCACCCCCAGGCCAGGCCCGCCAGGCCCCGTCCCAATGGAAGAATGGCTTCTGCTCTGCCCAGGACCTGCTTTGCCCGGCTAGGCAGCCTTGGCCCAGCGCTGCAGGCCTTCCCTTGCTCTCTACTCACCACAGGCCATCGTAGCTGCTAGACACGATCAGGGAGCCATCGCGGTTAAAATGCACCTGAAGGCAAGGAGAGACCCGGCTATTTGAGGGCAGAGGGAAGAGAGCGAACCAGCTCTGGGGCCATCCCCCCCTTTTGCCCCAGAGAGGAAGGCCCTCCCTTCTTCTCGGCCAAGGCTCCCCCAGGAAATGTTCACCCCCTCCCTCCCAAGAGGACATACGGCAGAAACGGGGTCCGAGTGGGCTGGCAGTGTTTTCAGGCACTTCCCCGTTTTGACGTCCCAGATCCTGACGCTTTCGTCAAACTGGAAATGAAGCAGAGGAGACGGTCAGAAACTGCGTTTTTCAGGTCCCCAAACACGGACGGGCTTCTGCTCCGAGCAGAGCTCTGGGGGAGGCCTGTCTCCCCCGGCCCCAGAAAGAGCAAGAGGCAGCTGCTTCTGACTCGGGGTGCCCAGTGCCTCCATTTCACACAGACATGGCCCATGGCCCGAGAGGCTGATGGGGCTTGGGAAGCCCTTCCTCTTTCCCCCAAGTGCTTCCCAGGGCAGGTCACCCTCAGGTTTCCTTCCAGCAGCATCCATTTAGGGAGGGGGCACTAACTGAAAATGCCAAATTCCCCCGTGGAGGAAGACGCTCACGTGGAAATGCTTAATTTCTTTGCACGAAACGGCTGCCGGCTAAATGGGAGGGGTGAGGCTATAACTAATGAATATTTGAGCTATAATTTTCAGGAAAATAGAAAAAGACGAATCAAAATTCTACTGGAATAAGATAGAAAGTAATGGAGTATTTTGAAAGGGTTATTTTGCAGTAAAACCTGGTATCTGATATCTCCCGCTCTATTTGTCATATACATTACATTTAATTAATAAGGTTTTATCACCTATGTAGAAAATAATCAGGAAGAAAGAGAGATGGCACCAGAACTCATAATAGGAGACCTTCATCCTGCATCAGAGCGCCCACCTGAGGCAGGAAACCCTCCCACCCAGAGGAATCCAGAGCACCTCCCTTCCAGGGGCCTGGGGTGGGGAGGGCTACGCTTTGGGACCTCTGAAGGCAGAGCTGCAGCTCTGGAAAGCTAAGGAAGCCCACCTGGCCGCAGGTCCTGAGAGCCACCGTGCATTTCTACCTAAAATGAGAACAGGTCTTGCCCAGCCAGATGCTTACCGATCCTGAGACGATGAGGTTTGACTGAGGGTTGAAATTGCAGCAGAAGACATAGTTGCTGTGCCCCTTCAGAGTTTTTAAGCATTTCCCCTAGAGTAAGAGAGAGAGAGAGAGATGCATTTTTATAGCAAGCTCTTTACAGAAAGGATCAAAATGGACTCAGATGATAATGTGATGCTGAAACACTCTGCTCTTTTGTCAGAGCTCTGGCTGGAAGGGAAAGCAAAGCCAGGTCTGCCCAAATTTCCCTCCTGAAAAATGGGAGACGGGAAAGGCCTCCTTTGCAACTTGGAACTAGCAGATAAAGCTGACTTGGGCTTTTGACAGGCATCTTTCTTCAACAGAATTTGATATTTCGCTGGGTGCACTCACACCACAGGGCCCCGTAAAGGAGGCTGCCCTTCCAGACAAGCCACACAAGGCTGTGCTTCCTCCAACCTAGTCAGACTGGCTGGGGAAGCAAGCAAGACACCTACCTCTTGAATACCACTCTTTAGTGTCTACCTTGTTTTTTTGCCCACAGGACAAGCATTAGTGCAACACTATCAGAACCCTATCTGGTGTAATGAACAGAAACTCATTCAAAATTGAGTCTGACTGGAAAAAAAATGGGGGATTTTTTTGGGATCGGGGCATACGTCAGGCAGGCATGGCACGAAGTGCATCTCCAAATGTAAAGTACTTGGACATTGAAATCACTCAATCACAAACTTCTTACCGAGCTGACATCCCAAATTTTGAGAGTTTTGTCATCCGAGGCAGAGACAAGAAGATTAGAATCAGATGACCAAGCAACATCAGAGATTCCCTGCAAAACAGAAAAAGTGCCTCTGCAATAACTTCTTCCTCATCCAAAGTTTGGGGTAACATCTTGGAAAATGTTATCCCTCCCCAGCAGCTGGCACTACCAACTACCCTGGGTGATCAGGAGACGCTCATGAGAGGTCAGGCTGCTAGGAAACCTCAGGGCTGCAGATGACATTTGGAAGTTTAAAACAAAATTGCCATCTCCTTTATAACCCCTACGCAGACGTCACAAAGAATCAGCTCGACGTGCAGAAGCCTTTGCTCAGGAGGGGACAGGTGCACAGGTGTATCTTTCCACACACCGAAGGATGTTTCTGTACAGCACACTCCTCCAGCAAATGCTTCACTTGATAACTCCTGATGTGTCCAACTATTCCTCAGTAGAGGTTTAGGGAAGTGCTTTCAAAATCTGTTTCCCCGTGCTTGTGGTCAAAGATTGTTTAATCCAGAAATCTCTCTTCCCGTGGGAAGGCTTTGTCCTCAAATGTCCTCTGTCTAGTGTTCTGACCCAGAGACCACCTCAGTGATAGGCCTGAATAATTAAGCCAGACTGTAACTTCCTCCTCATGGCTTATTACAACGCCTCCTTGGGAAGGAGTTTGCTAAGAAAGGGACCCTCTCAGCTATATCTGCTAAGAAAGGGACCCTCTCAGCTGTATCTTGGGACCGTCTCAGCTAAATCTGCAAGGAGCATCAAAGTTCCATCCTGTGTATTATACTTACCAGTTTATGTCCAGACATTGTTTTTTCAAACTTGCCATCATAAGCACCCCAAATTTTAATAAGCTTATCAGCCGCTGAAAAAAAAAGTGAAAATGACCAATTATAAAGGCCAAGTCAGTCTGCCACCCATAATTTTGTTTGCTGCAAAAGCAAGTAGTCCTCATCTAATGTTGTTTAGTCATCATCTGAAGTTATAATCGTGCTGAAAAAGGGCTACTCGTGACAGGTAGTGGCCCTCAGAGTGTCCCTGCAGTCACATGGCAACTGGCACACAATTAACCCAACCCAGTGAGAGTTGGGGAAGGCAGGGCAGCAGCAGTAGGAACGTCTTTCCCACTGGGATGACAAGAGAGGCTTAGTCCAACCAGCAGGGTCACCAATGAAGTATTGTGAACACAGCTTCACAGAAATTTCACTTTCATCTTTACAAATGTCCAGCCTACAAATCCGTTCACAGTGAGCTGTTAAAATTCCAAAATTCAGGGGCTTCCACTCACTTTCACTCAGTCCAGATCATGGAGAACCAGAATATATTGTGCAAAATTATGAAATGTTTACACCAATCATAAAAATACTTTTGCTTGATACAACACTGAGCATTATAAACAGCCTTAAGAAATCCTAATTCTGCCAGTTTTACAAATGTTCTGAAATGATCACCTACTGTATCAAGAACAACTTTTCTTCAGTTAAAATGTCATGTATAACTTAAAAGAAAGCACAATGCACAATTAAAATATAAATAAGAAGCAGATGACCAAACTCCTGCATTTTAAAATATAGCATCTTATTGATATTGCTTTAAACAATTCAAATATCTGAACCTGATACTCAAAGAGAACAAATGGGAAGCCAAGCCAGCTTCCCAGAGAGGAGAGATTCCACAACTGGGGCCCTTGGAGAGAAATACTAGGTTACCAACTGCTTCAATTGCGGTGGTGATTGTGGAAGATCTGAGGAGGACACACCAGGGGCCTTTTCTGGAGCCACCCCAGCCGAAACCCCTGCACTTCCAAGGACACTGGTGGGGTTCTGAATAACAATTTGCTCAGAAGGAAGCCCCCATGCTGTCACACAAATATCCATAAATGTAAAAAAAAAAAATCACACACTTGACTTCCCCCTCAACTGGGATTACATGCTGTAGAAAGAAGGGAGCAGAAGGATACTTACAAGAACTAGCCAGCCACTCCCCGTTGGGACTGAATTTTACAGAGGAGACGGCTTTGGTGTGTCCTGCCAATGTGAATTTCAGGGCATAGTTTGGTTTCACAGGTGCAGGCTGGCAAAAGAAAATCATGTTAGGTCAAGAAATCACTTGTTCTCTTTACACACGGCCACCACTGGCCTAGGCAGTTCTTTGGCCACCACTTGCCAGGCACTTCATGACTGCCCAGGATCCCCCCAAGCCCAGCTCCCTTTGTACCTCCCTCCAGGCAGCAAAGGGACAAGGACTGGGATCTTGGCAGACAGCTCTGCATGAAGGCTGCCTTGGCTTTACGGAGGCCAATAATCCCAATAAAACAATAACTGGGAGATCTTTTATTTCATGGCCCGTCACATCAGCCTTGTGACCACAAAGACAAGTCCCTGAAGTTTTACTGCAATGCTTTCAGTTGGCTCGCCAGTGCCTTCTTCTGAGGGTTGAAGGAGAGCAACTGGCCTAAAGTCATCCAGGCAGCTCCCACACACGAGAGGAGATTAAAATGGGTCTCAGTCTGGCTTCTAATCCAGTCCCTTAACTGCTAGACCAGGGCTGTCAAACTCAATTTCATTGAGGGCCGCATCAGCATTGCGGTTGCCCTGGGGGGGGGGGATGGGTGTGGCCAGGGGGGTGCAGTCTACTGGGTGGGCGTGGATGGAGTGGGTATGGCCTACTGGGTGGGCGTGGATGGAGTGGGTGTGGCCTACTGGGTGGGCGTGGCCAGCTCTACATTGTTCGCGTCAAGGGTGCCTGTGGGGGCCTGGGCAGGAGTGGGGCAGATCTGAGGGTCTCTGGCAGAAGGAGATGGGACCAGGGCAAGTGCCAAGGCAGGGTCCACTGGGGAAGCCTCACTGTTGTTCTCAGGCCATGCGAGGGGGGGGAATGGTGGTGCGGGCTGCCGGGAGCCCTGGGCAGCAGAGGTCAAATGCCCAGCCTGGCCCTCGAGCACCCGCAGCACCAAGCCCAGCCCCACTTCCCCAAGGGGGCGCCCAGATCACTTGCCTCCTCCTCAAGGCTGCTGCTGCTGTGCTTGCTCTCCTTAGCCAGGTTGCTCATGNTGCTCATGATGGGTACGAGGGCAAAGTCAGAGGGAGGCCCATTCCCTCTCCATGGGAGGAGACCCGGCTTTGTATCCAAAGCTTCCTTAGCAATAGGATGGGGACCCCCAGGATAGGCCAGGAGGAGGGGGCAAGGGGATGGTGAAAGGGCAGCAGGGCAGGACTAAGGCAGGACTTCCCTCAGACCCTCCCTCTCCTTCTTCTTTCCTTCCTAAGTACAGAGTGGTGGGAAAATATTTGAGATGAGGGAGGGAGAAAAACAGGCAAGAAATGCAGCTGGGGAGGTGTCACCCTTCGTGAGGAATGAAGAAATGCACCATCGCCTGGAAGTGGCCAGCACATGGCCCTCGCCTACTTCACATATCTGGCTTGGTGGGCTCTGGGGGAGGGGATGCCATGAGCAGCATGAAAGTCAACGTTACCTGCACAATGCTGTCCAGCCCCCAGCCTGCCCGGTCTCGGCAGGCAGAGGGGCGCTCTCCTCACAGCGCCGAGAGACTGAGCCAGGCAGCGCGAATCCAAAAACAAACACGAGGCCGCCCAGCTCTCAGCCTGCCTGGTTTCGGCAGGCAGCAGGGCGCATTCCACACAGAGCCAAGAGGGTGAACCGGGCGGCGCAAATCCAAAAAGAAGCGCGATGCCACCCAGCCCCCACGATTTCGGCAGGCAGCAGGGCGCTTTCCTCACAGCGCCGAGAGGTTGACCCGGGCGGTGGGAAGCTCGTCAGCTTTGCACCTTGCTGCATGCTGAAACTGGGCAGGCTGGGGGCTATGCAACATTGCACTTCTCATCAGATTCGCGCCGCCCGGCTCAGCTCTTGGCACTGAGAGTACCCCGCTGCAGGCCGAAACCGGGCAGGCTGGGGGCTGGGCGGCGTCGCGCTTCTTTTTGGATTCGGGCCGCCCGGCTCAGCCTCTTGGCGCTGTGAAAGCACCCCGCTGCCTGCCGAAACCCCTCCCCCGGAGCCCATCAAGCCAGATATGTGAAGTAGGCGAGGGCCATTTGCTGGCCACTTCCAGGCGATGGTCCATTTCTTCATTCCTCACAAAGGGTGACACCTCCCCAGCATGCACCCAGGGGGCAGGGCCAACGTGGCAGGGGCTGGTTCCTCGCTGTTTCCAGACGGCCTTGTGGAGCTAAGACTGAATGCCTTTCAGCATAGATGGCCACTACAAAATTGTACATTGGCTCCTGGCCGGCCAGGGCCAGGGCCAAGGCAGCAGGGGCCGTTCCCTCACTGTTTCCAGAATGGCTTCGCAGGCCACATGAAACCACTTCGCGGGCCGCATCCGGCCCTGGGGCCATGTGTTTGACATGTCTGTGCTAGACCAAACTGGCTTCCAGGATCCTTTTATTAGGATTTATCAAATTAACAGAAGTATGTGAAAACAAGATGGTGCAAATGCAGGTACTGAGTCACTTTTGAAATCTGCTCCTTCACAAATGATAAGACAGTTTTAGTAAATGTCTATAAATGAAGCTTTTTGTGCAGAAACCATGTACCTAGAAATGCCAAAGACTGCCTGGCAGGGAGGCAGGGACATTTGTACCCTCCCAGCAAAACAGCTGGAAAACAGA